AACCGTGGAAGTACTACACACAACTGTTTCATCTCAACCGACTTCAACCTGGACGTGTAGTGGAGTAGGTCGCAAATGCCGCCCCTATTTTACGCCGGATGGTTCCGGTAGTGGGATTCACGCCAAAGGTTCGACGAAAGTTCGTCCACAGTCCGAATGAGCTATTACTGAGAAGAATCACAGGGTCGATCCTATTGTCTGAGTGATAATAGGCAACTTCCAATCGCGAGGGATGCATAGGTATTATGTTTTAAACGTGTGTTGGTGTAATCCCAATCGCTAGAACTGGTGGTGACAGCCTCGAGGTTACGTCTGGGAATCACATCGTTTCCAGATTGGGTTTGAGTTGTCACGAACTTGAGAGATAAACACCATCAGTGGTTGATTAAAAGAATATCAGGTGTCCTTCAGCTCATGATCCCATCTTAAAAATACAAGTAAAGTAATAGATTAGGATTCGGTTTTCACTTTCACGTCAGAAATAAAATCATAAATCAATCATCAGTCTGGCTGATTATGGATAGAGAAATGGAGCATTCATGTCCAAAGCATACCTGCTTTGCTTTTAGATTGAATATGTAACGAAAATCTTAATCATCATTAAATTGTGTACAAAAGAAAACTACGGAAAATAAACGTGGATATTTTCATAACAGTAAAAAAGTGAAGTATGTTTCTCTAATCGGTTCGATAAAACCCTTTAGTTGGTGTACACTTCAAGTTATGGTCCACAGTCTGATTTAGTTAGGTGTTTTCGCTGTAGTTAGATAATTAAACGGACAGTATTAGTTACACATTTTAGATATCGATCATGAATGACAACACTTTCATCATAGAAACAAAAAAGTGTTTTGCGATATCTGAAAGCTTACTTCGATAATATTGTATCTTGAAACTAGTATTCGTTCATTCATCGTGGCCAGATCGATAGCTACGACATCGAAATCCGGTGAAACATAGATCACGTGGTCTGAGGTAACGTTTGGATGAAAGATAGAGTAAAGTAATGAGAGATAAGATGGGCGAATTTCAAAGAGCAAAAAATCTAATGAGATTGATTCAGTTGGCAAACTTCAGTGAACTTTCGTCCCAGGAAAAGAAATTAATTTATTCTTAGAATGGGAACTATCTAAGAAGTGTTTTATAGATGGAAAACGACCAAAAATAACCCTCTACATTCGCATTAGAGGGTAAAGTTATTCACATCTGCGAAATACAGAACGTCTATCAAAAGGTGATTTTCGATCAATCAAATTGTGATCAAATGGAATTTTTTCGGGAGTTGATAAACTAAACAACGCGAAGGACAATGAGTCCACAACTATTGCTAGTCCCAAACAAGCGAGGTTTAAAAAATGAACAAGGAAGACAATTGCAACAGCACATCATGGCGAAAATACAATATCCTACTGCATGAACGAATTTGACGGTAAATTTCTACTTCGTGACAATTTTGGGGAATAGAACGCTCTCTCACTAATACGGAACTGACTAAACATGAAACGCGCCCGGGGGAGGGGGGATTTGTTAACCACGATGCAATTAGAAAGTAATCTGTTCATTTTCATCCTTTTGTCGACAAGAAATCAATAGCGGAATCAGCATTTCTCGACTTATAAGCGACCCTAATGTGCAGTAAATACACTTTCATCGGTGACACAGGATACTACAATACATATGCTGAGTAGTAAACGGTAAAAGGCGCAGAACATTATGTGCAGTGATTTTAGTTTCGTAACGTGAGGACCTACCATTTGATTTTGTTATGAAGTTGGTGTTTGGAGAAAAATATAATTTTTGTTCATCATATTTTCCAATCAATCACGTTTTAATTTGAACAACCAACCAGCTCTTTGTGTTTTATTTGGCGCCAGGTTGAAAGCAAAACTAATGCCACTGCTCTGTTTCCATCGGTGACTGTCAGTTACTGTCATTATCTCCATACGATGAGGTAAAATTTAGTATCGTAGGGGGTAACAGAGCCAGGCTGGAAGCTCACGAATGATACCCAAGGGGATCTTTTTGGAGAGCAACAAATGAGACAACCAACCAAAAAGGCTCATTTGGGACACTTCCATTTAGTTGGAAATTTGTCTACGTGCAAGATAACCAAGAGATGTTTAATTATTTCATTGAGCCCAATTTTTCGGGACCGTATTGGAGTCGTTATTACTTCAAAGGCATTTTAAATCCACTGGATCCTGTATGAATAATATTTTGCTTACTTCCACCAGATCAGGCAACGTCTACCAGTTTTCTTTCCTTCCCCTGAAGTTAAGTTGTGAAATCTTTGGAATCCGCTTTCTAAGCAATTAAAATGTGCTGTAGCTTCCACAGTGTAGCATACCACACAGAATGGGACTAAAATCGATGGTTGTGAATAATATCAAAAATGCGGGTTTCGACGTATAATAAACAGTCCGATGTCTGATACCTCACAAATCGATGATTCTAGACGTTAGGTAATCAATTCCTTCCATTTTATATCGAGTTAACCACAGGAACGTGATCCAAATAAATCCGTTTATCTCGCTTTGTTACGTTAGACGCATGGCTACATACTGTATGCCCGGCCTATCCAGCTATTCACACAATTATGGACAATGAATGGCACTGTTTAAAAATCGTTCCCCCGTGGAGTGTATAAATGGAGGCATATTTTTGATTGACCCATAAAGGTTAAAATACTTTTCTTCCTCGTTGTCATTCGTACAGCCAACTCCGATACTCAACTTTACGGGCTGGCGTCGTTTAACAATAGACTGAAATACATCAGATTCTGGTTTTCATTGTATTTATTGAACGAAATACACAACCAGTATGACAAAATGAAAAGGAAGACAACGGGTTATTGCCTTGGCAACGTTTCTCCTGATGATGAGCCAGAACAGCGGTCCAATGTAACGGATATGAGCTTACCACAGAGATCTTCAAATTCCATGGGGAATCTAGCTTCCCAATCACAACAGCCGTTTTATGGTTAATTTAATGAAAATAGTTAATTATGATTGAGTGTGATTGTTCCATTAAATCGATATAGTCACGAGTTACATGAATTTCAGGGCACACCAAATAGTTTCTGGTTGCGAAATTGTTATGGCTATTCTCCTTCTCATCATCTTATAATTCATCCAGGGAATCGTTGTTTTGTTTCCGCTGAAGCATTCAAGTAAAACATCGTTTTAATCTCCGATCTAGGGTGGACTCACGATATCTGAGGTCAAACACACATTGCATCAGAGGGGAACTAAATCTATTACATCACTGTGTTGACAGTGATCATTCGAAATGTACCGACTTTGGATTTCTTGTTACCACTAAGCCTCTTCCAGCGAGATAAATTTACCTAGTTGAAAGTCATTCAGAGCGTTTAAACTTGTGCATGAGGCTTTGTGAATCGTATTAAAAATGCTCTGATTGTTGTGAATATCATCAAAATTTTGCGGTCGATGCACAGATCATTTCACAGCACCACATTTAGGTTTCTGTTCCTTTGCTGAGATATTAACTAAAATCATATGAACAATGATTATCTTCGATCACGCAAGCAAACTGCGCATAAAGCGAAAAATCCAAATATGAAACATAGTGGGCAACACTACATTCATTTTTTTAAGCAAGTTCCCAATCGCATTATGCATCATTTTCATTCAATCGGAATTGCTCTTTCTTTCTCTCTTTCCCGTTCATAAGTGAAATCACATCATTTGCCGCTTTGTCAGAGTTTAGTTCCAGCGATTATGAAACTGTTCGTCAGTCCACTGTCCTATCGTTTACATCTCTCCGTGACCGTTGATCCATGATGCACTGAGGCTAAGCTAGACAGGCGGACAAACGGGCGGACTGATCGATCAAATCCCGTCGGATAAGAAAGTCCAACCAGGGTGATGTCCCTTGTGTTGATCGCCCAGAGAATCAATAACATCATATGACCGGTTAACGAAAGCGCAGCCTTGGAGACAAAAAAACAAACAACGTACTGGTGGAAGAAAATTAAAAGATGAAAAGATATATCTACGGATGGCTTGATACTGGGATAGACGGTTAAGAAGCCATGCATTCAATTCACACAGAGTAACACGAGTAACACGAAAAAACACCAGAAGAAACTCACTGTTTTTGATTTGGTAAACCAATATTTTCATTGCTCTGGGCAACTGAACCATGTCTGTGAATGTGTAAGGTTTTCCAAAGTTCACTTCGTGTTCACCTGCAAATGAATTTAAACAAACGACAGGAAGAAAATGTCATTACAGTACAGTTTCCATAGAAACAATAAAACTAGAAGAGAGGTTAGGCAGACGCATAATTATTGGTCGAATTTCAGCGCTGCTTACGGTGTGTTCTGCATTGTCAGCAGGTGTCATTATATGTCACTCATGCATGGAATTCGGTCTAGTGGACAGAAATCGACCGTGATTTATTGCTTCCCTATTCTGGTTAATAGGGTGACAGTTGACGGTGGTGAAACAATAATAGCAAGTTTACAGCAAACACCACAAAGTCGTGAAGCAAACTAAAGATCATGTCCGGAGTGTGGTTACGTTAACTGCGCCGTTGAATTGTTTGTCTATTAAAAGTCATCGACCTTTATTCGTGCTAACATAATCCGTCGCAAGTGACCTTTAGCTAACACACATGTATCATCGGTCCAGGAGTTGCATACTATCGAACACCTGTGCGAATACAGCATTGTCGTGCTGCAATTTGTACCTCAAGACAAAATTTGGACATTTTCGAGTGTTGTCTGCTGCAAACACTGCCAAGAAGATTGGATTTCCCCCTTTCTGTTTTCCAATGGTGGGCAATACTGCAAGATACTGTAACCAACGACTGACGTTCTATTCTTGTTTATAATTTGTTTTATTGTTCCCGTTGGTTAAGGCGGTCTATTTCCGTTTACTTTGAAGTTTTACGTCTTTGGTTTTTCTTTACATAAAGAGCTTTGGTGCAAATGACAAAATCGTATTCATTTTATGTCACCGTAAGACGACAATGGTGATGACGATGCTACGGAAGAAAGTCAGTAGACTTGAGACAGCGGATTGCCAAAGCCAATGGTGCATAATGAAATGCTACGAATAATTTGAAGCGTTAGTCAATAAACCAATTGGAAAAAATTGGAAACATGTCACATGGGCTCGAAATTAGTCACATTTAATTTGGATGGTGGTGGTAGTGGTCCCTATCACTAAGGTACTCCAATTTCTGAGATCCAATGTCCCAACTCTGCGATTTGGCCCGGCTCAACCAACATCTAGGTCATTGTGTAATATACCACTACACGTTACAAGGTTGCGTCGCCCATCCTACGGTTCTGGACACAAGTTTGTGATAGATTACTATCCGTAATTGATGTATCGGTGTTTTAACTGTTTACATTCCTGTCACAAGTATTAGTGAAAGCATATAGTTCACCAGTCCTCACCGCCTCCAAGAATGTTGGATTATTGAACTGTTACTCGGACTCGACAGAAGATATTTGTATCTGATATGGTAACTATGTCAGGAAGCTAATTTTGACAGAACGGGCAAATCAGTGCATGCTTGTTCCTATCCAACTGTCGGTGGAGAGCCAAATTTATCCCACCTTCAGATCCGATAAGTTAACTGAAACAACTTCACAAAAATAGACTCATCCTATCATGTTGAGATTGATTCGGACTAAATGTATTTGTGGTGTAGAAACACACGGTATAAAATCACCCTAATTCTTGTTCAATTTGAGCTCGGCCTGATTCAGGACGACTGTGATTATGCAAACTTGAGAAGGGGATTATCTAGCTGAAATAACCAACAGGATTAAATTTGTCAAATAGAAGCCAGTTGAGAGATGTGACAGATCACAACATATACACAAATTTGATGATCGTGCGTACATTACTTGGTGGCTGGACTGCATTTATGACCAACAGCAGCACATATCTTGTCACTTTTCTCCATTCCACATCCAACTGCTTGCTCTCCGAATTGGACTCTAATCGGCTACGAATATTTTACTGCACATCGGCTAAACATGCTTGGTGTTTCTGTTAGAAGCAAGGCAAGCAGTTTATTAGTTCGATCCAAATGAAACTTCAGAAACGATTGTTTTCATTCTCTGTTATGACTGCACCTTGACGTGGTGTGATTGCTTGCGTGATCCATGACCCTGCGCGCTATACAGGATGGCTCTTCACAGCCGCAGATCCAATCATGCCTGAAAGGTCAATGGGTAGAGGCCAGACGAAGATAAGTCTAACTATACCAGCTGCTTGGACACCTCCTGGTCTTCTTTGGTTATCCACTGCCTCTCCTGGGGTGGTCACTGCAGCAAAAAAGCGGCGAGGGGTAGTTTACAGGTAAAAAATCCCGCTAAATGAACGTGGGAGCGGGGCACCTGGGGCTTCCACCTGACGGTGAGAAAAGTCTTCGCAATTCACTGGACAGCTACCACCCGCCAAATCTGGGCAGCTTCCAGCTAGTAAATTGCTGTCCCCTCTACCTTCCTCTTGTCTCATTAGGTGCATGAGGCTAAGGGCCGATTACGTAAAGTGCACCGTTAACCAAAGCACCAACGAATAACAAACTTAAGCAAAATTCAAAGGTCTTGCGTAGCAGGTCAACAGAAGCTCCCACGTGGGTGCTTCGTTCACGCTCCCGCGTTATATCAACGCCCCACTACGTTGCGGGTCAGACTTTTGAATTGAAATCTCCGGTTAGGGTTCCCAAAGGAAAACCCTTTGTCGGCGTGGGCTACCGCGAAGTATGCCGTTCCCCCAAAGTCTTCGGTATCCCCTTGGAAAACACTTTCTCTCATTTGTCCACTTCCTCTTCTCACTCCCAAACCTCAGATGCCTCCTGTTTAGGCCACCCATGGGATATCACTCAGCATTCAACTAATGAGGTCAACCACTTGGAGGCTATCCGATTTTTAAAATCAAAGTCCGCTTTTCACTTAGCCGCATTTAATGTCCGCACGCTACCAGATAAGTCAACAAGCTGTCTGAGCTAGAACCCTTGGAACTTTCAATTCAGAAGNCCTTAATTCAATTTTCCCCTTGCGCTCTCCTGACCCAACCTCATCCTCACACTTCACTCTCCTCGTGTCAGACGACTCGGCATCCGAAGCTCACGGTGTTGCTGGTATTGGGATTGCGCTGTGTCAAGGCCGAGCGAACACTTCTTCACTGGATCCCGGTTAGTAGCCGACTTTGCACTGTACATCTGGATGGTTCGGTAAGAATCAACAGCTACAGAACAGTGTCGATGCTTATTCATCGTATCTGTGTATACACAGATTGATTGCATTTCGCCAGAAATGAAGGATGAATTCTACAGGGACCACTTTCAACTCCTCCAAAGTGCTCGGTCAACGGATATTGTGGTAGTTGCTGAAGACTTTAATGTTCAAGTGGGATCCCTGGACTAATCAGAAAGTCTACTGGGTGGTTCGCATGCAATCCCAGCTAACGGGACTGAAAACGGCGAACGCCTACTCAAACTTTGCGCCGACAACGGACTGCTTCTGTCAAGCACCAA